GTGTATTTAAAAACAATTATTAATAAATAAAGAAAAAAATTATTTTTATTATTTATTATTTATGTTAACTTTTTTAGTTTATGTATCATGGAATTACCAATATGTTTGTCTATTAAATTTTCGAAGATCGACTGTCACAATATTGTGATTACACTATTGTTTATCATTGCTTAATAGATATATTTTTTTAAATATAATTATATTTGACATAACATAAAATTTGATAAAAATTCAATTTTTTAAAAATAATTTGTAGTAATTTTAATAACGAAATCAAATTTGACAAATTTCCATTTTATGATGTTAAATTATTTTGAAAATGTCTTCAATTCGATAGGCGTCCGTGGAAAAATAGAAACAGGCAATAGAAAAATAAATATCTGAATTTTATTTTAGACGTGAAATCTGAATAAAATATTAAGAGAGATATTGTAAGTAAAAGATGATATTGTATCACACTTATTTCCATTTTGATATTCAATTTAAATTACAATTATTGTTTTAATTTTGAGTAAAATGGATACGTGACTGATAATTCTTTTGTGTATATTTACGTTGCGATACCTACTGTAGTTTGAAGAATAATCACAGTAGGTAATTACATTTTTTATAAAAATAAATATATATAGCTATGAAGTAATTTCCTTTAGCTGTTAAAGCTAATTAGTTTTTAGTTATATTTTCAAATTTTAAGAGTTTTATTATTCATATAAACTTTTTAGAACAAATCGTGATTTATAGTACGTTTTACTAAATAATTTTCCATTTTAAATATGTTAAACCAACAAATCATTTCTATAAGAAGCTAAATGTATAGATAATGATTAATTAATTTATTTTATTATAACTTCACTAATAATAGTTGCAATAAATAAAATCATTCACCAGATAAACTAAAAATAACGGTACTAACCCAACACTATATATTGGTAAAATTTTTTTTACTAAGATTACTAATAAAGTATTTACACGAACAAATGAATTCTCAAGGTTTTAGTTTGAATAAAATAAATTTTATGGCTAATATTTTTGATGTCGGCGAAAACGTTTTGTTCATGCAATCAGTTGTTAAAAACATTTTATATTTACTACATAAAAATGTAAGCAAAACACTCAATTTATTAATTATACTTTTTTTAATTAATCTAGCAATAATACCGATATCAGCTTCGCGCAAAGATGCCATGGAATACCTATTGAACAATCCCTATTGGAAAAATTACGAAAAAACTCAACCAGATGCTGGTATAAAGGATCTTGGAAAAATTTACACAATAGGGAAAATAATTGCAAAAGACGATAATGGTAAAATTGTCAATGATAATAATTTGGAATGTAAAATTCGGCATTATTATACTCTAATTAGGTGCATTTTTACTGATAAGTTAAAAGTCATAGTTTTATATTTAAGCGCTGTCTTGGATCATCAGGAAAAAACGAAAATCCTATGGGAGGATTTTTATACATTTTTTTTTGAGCAAATCGATAATTTTGAAAGCGTATTTGATAGCATTAATAGCTCACTATCGCTACTGGCTAGGTGGTACTTTGAAAAAAATAATGTTAATAAACCAGCTATAGATGAATATAGTATAACACGTGTTATGATTGATATTAAGTCGTTGCCATCATTTTCAAAAAGTGTAAAAAACATACCTATAAATCTGGAAAAATGTGAAAAATCATTAGATGAAATTCAGGAAAATTATTTTCGATTTGTAAAAGTACAAACTGATAATGATTTCGTAAAAAAAATAAAAGATAGAGTTCAAGAAATTTTCAAAAATAAAAGATATAAAAATATAGTTGAACAAGATCTTCGTAATGAAACAACAAGTATTATTGACAAATTTTTCAGAGATTTTGATTATTTGGGATTCATTTACAACACAACACAAAAAATTGTGTCTGTGAAGGAAATGCCCAAAAACGAATCGAAATCTTCATTCCAACGTAGTCGTAGTTGTTGTCATTAGTTTTAATTTTAGTAGAATCATTGAAATTTCAGAAATATTCAAGTTATTTTATATTAGTTTTTAATTTTTATTAATCATCTCTTTCTCTTTGGTTTGGCTAATTTGACGAATTCCTATAATAATTAAACTTTACAAAACTAATTATAATACATGTAAAAAATTCAAAGTATAGCAATGAAATTGTTAAAAAAAAAAATATTTGTTTTTATATTTAATCTTATATTAAATAATTTAACTATATAATTAAGTATAATCATTTTATGTAAATATTGTTATATAAATTAATCTTTTTGTTTAAATTTGTCTCATTTGTAGATTGCAAAATAAATGAATTGTTTATCGGTTAAATTGATCATTGTTTTCTTAAAATATATGACGTTTGTCCATTGATTGTTATGTTAATGTATAGCTATATAATAAATTAACTTAAAATAAAAATGGTAAGTCTACCTATGAACAATTATATAATTTTTTTATTACTACACTTGTGAAATTTTAACTAAAATCTATTATTTGTTTTTAACACTTAATACTTTAATCTATTTTCAAAAACACTTGACATCAATACATTAACACGTCTACTCAATGGCCTAGGTTTTCGCAAGTTATAAATAATAATAATAATAATAATAAAAAACTACATTAATTATATTTGTAAAGTTATTTAAATATTAGTATAAATTATTTTTATAAATATGAACAAAGTTTATAGTCCAAAACGTGTACTAAACACTAAAATATACCTAACTCTATTATCCGTTATATAATAGGTTTCATCCAAGCAATACAACTCTGATGTCTGTAATTACACAATAATATACTTAAGTAGCTCATGGGGTGACCTTTCGAGGGCTCCATAGGCTGCCATAGTCAGGAACTTAATTGACGTCGAAAACATATGCAAACGCATATAACCTGTTGTAAATATAACGCGCTACAATAGAAATTAATAAATAAATTTAGACAGAATGAGGGCTTAAAGTGGGGGGGCTCAAGGGACCCACACATCCTACCTCTAAATGTGCTTAAAAAGCGTTCCATTTAAAGAAATCGCAACATCCTCTGGAATACTAAATTTTTTAGTCAAAATTACCAATATAATGTTATAAAATTAATATATTATTACTAATAATACACTTTAACGCAGTAAAAAAAAAAGTTAAAATAAAATTCGTCACATCTTAAAAAACGATGAGCAAATTTTTCATTGGCAGATCGTTTATATCTTTTTATACCTTATAGCACTAAAAATAATGATGACAACGTATTTTAGCAGTTCATTTGGTTTGCAAACCGATAATTTTATTTAACAATTGATATCTAATTATGGTTCAGTTATCAGACACAGAGCTACGTGGTATTACCATGTGCGCATTATTCTTTCAGTCTTTTCTAGTTAGCAGTTAAAAGTTATTTACTAAAAATATGTTTTAACTATATAGAAATTATTTTTTTTAGTTTTAATTTATTGTTTGAACAATAATTTTTAAATGATTTCAAAATTATTATAATTATGAGATATTAGACATTAATGGTTAATAAAGTCATTTTATATGCAAAATAATATTTTAGCACATTTTTATTAATTATTTTTAGAATTTACATTTTATCTAACAAAAAAATTTTATATATATAAAAAAAAAATTATGTACAATAAAGTATCAATTTATTTATGAAGTATAAACATTTTTATCAATAGGCACTAAGTATATTAAGCAATACATTTTTAAATGTATTGTTATTTAATTGTGTTATATATTTATTATATAAGTAGGATGGCATGATGTACCTCATAACGTAATTGTAAACATATTTTGCAAATTTTTTATTGAACTAAAATAACAATTTTTAATTTGAATTGAATGAAATTTTTATCTTTCAACGTAATTAAAATATAAATTCTAATGATTACAAAAACAAATTATTTATATATATACGCAGTGATTTGTTTATCACAAATCACTCAATTACTCGCAAAATAAATATAATATTGGACAAAAAATGTTTAATTTATTTAATTTACATATATATTTTGATTTAACAGCTAATAATGACTTTTAAGAATCATTCCTCATAACATAAAGGGGTTAAACTTAAACTTTATTTTATTACGTAGTAACGCAGATATTTGGTTAACTTATAAAATAGAAAATGATATAATTAAAAAAATGACTAGTCTATAACAACTTATAGACCAATACTTAGGAGGTTATCATTTTTATACCAAGGCTGGACGAAAAGAACGACGGGAAACTGATAAATGATAAAAATAGTAGGATCCACTCCTCATCTCCAGTCTATAATTTAAATGTTTAATAACTTATATATATATATACACAGAGTTTTCAAAAAATAAGAAAACATGTTAATTATTACAATCAATGAAAACAATTGAAACCTGTATCCTTATTTACTGAACACTCTATATATATTATTTTATTTCTTAACACCTTTAATGATATTTTTTAATTTTCTCTAAGTATTAAAAATGGCCCTACTAATTCGAGGTAAATGCAAATAAGTAGTTGTAGCGCTAAAATGTTTAAATTAAATATATATTAATCATTAGTTTCAGTCAATAAATTAATAAATAGTATTTTGTTTCATTTTTAAGTGTTTTAGTTCGCATTTTATAACTACGAAGCAAGATTCATAATAACGATTATTAAAGCATTTAGCTATTCTTTATTTTTTAAGTAGATATACTAAATTTAAAATTATAAATAATGATCATAAATATGCAACTTGAGTATAACTAATATCAGCAAATACACTAAACAATTACCCAGTAGGATTTTTAGGACGGATAGTTGTAAACGCGTTAAAAACCTTATTAAAATTGAATTTACGTAATACTTATCGATAAATCACGTTTCTGTAATAATTATATTTAACTTAATAAAAAAAAAAATCATATAAATGTTTTTCAAAAAAAATTTCATACATCTACATTTAAAATATTGAGATGAAAACCATAGGATAGAAATATGTTGAACTATTTTATTGATAGAAGTTTGATGTTTAGAAGTTGGAATAATCTTTTTGAAAGAAGACACTATTAAATTAAGGCCAGTAAGAAAGAGGAATCTAATCTAATTCAAGTTAGATTGAATTGGGTAAACCAGTTTTTTTTCTAGTGATAATGATGTTTTAAAAATAATGCAGTCATGTCAGATGAATTTCGTGTCACTCGTAAAATATTTTTGGATTCAACGGTGTTAAAAAATTTATATGGCAACTCGAAAATTAAATAAAATACTATAGAAATAAAATTATATAGTTTATAGTATATTTAGGATCGGATCAGATTAGTTTTCAAAAATTTTATGTAGGATTGGATCGTACTTTGACTAATCAGACTGGATCGTTTTTTTTGGCCCATCTGAGGCTCTACTATTTAATTATTCGTTGAGCAACTCTAAGGTAGCTGTTCCAGTTACTGAACACCTTCCAATTTTCTGAAATTTTAATTCTCTAGCTATTGTAAATTTGTAATGCGTGATTTTATTACCAAAATTTAAAATTTATGTTGTTTAAATGTACTATGAGCAATCAAAATTCCGTTTATTTACTGAGTCTTCTAAGTTTTTTTTTAAACTTAAATTCATTCTAGAAGATTTATTTTTTATTTGATATTACTTAAGTATGAAAATTTAAGAGTCGATAAAATTATCGATTTTTTACGCGAGTATTAGAGATTATTTCGTAATAAAAAACTATTTATTTTGTAGATAGTAAATATTTAATTGTTCGATGACTAGACGAGTTGCTATATCATTTTCAACAAAACACAGTAAAATTTCAAATAACAATGTAAACTATTATAATTTAATCGCATTTCTATTATCTAATGAATTTGAAATGAAACTTATAAAAACAAATGCGCTGTGACAATTTAATAATTGTATTTGAAAAAATGTTATTACAAAAAAAAATTAAATTAATTTAGACATATCGAACAGTAACTGTTATAATGTACGATTACTTATTATTATTATTATTTTTTGTATAAATTTATAAACTCTAGTAGCACAAATAATATTGAAAACATAAACATTGCTTTTCGCAGTGTAACGTATTAACAAAACACTTATGAGCTTTATGCTGCCATTTAAGTCTGTTAATAAAGTTTTGGTCGTAGTTCACACACAGTTTCCCTCAGGCGGCAGTCTCTAAAATATTACTGTATAAGTTTCACGCAAACACAGCGTGATGGACGCAGCATGATGCGAATTTTAGGGTACGCAGAAGGTTTTACCCAAGTAATAATTTCTGTAACGATTTATTTCTTATAATCTCAGCGGGAGGATTCGTTTAATAACATCACAATAAATTCGTCTGAGAAATAAATTAACTTATGAAACAACTCAATATTTCGATATATTTTAATAAGTGGTTAAATATTCCAACAATTTGTCGTAAATACTTTTTGATCTAGCAATAAAAAAAACATGTTAATACTGAATATTATTATTCAATATTACTGAATAGTTAGTTTAAAAGTTTCGTTAAACCGTTTAAATGTAATTTTATTGTTAACAAAAATTTTTTTTTTCAAAATGAAAATAAAAATTGTGGTTTCTCGATTTGATATAGAATTTATAAATAGAATATTTATAGAAATTTTATTGCACCATAATGTTAGACAAGTCAATAAAATTTATTTTTTCTCGTAGGTATTCGTGTTCGAAAAATAAAAAAACTACCTTATTAAATTAAACGTCTACGATACTTATATCAATACTGATATTTCTATTAATTCTATTCGATATTTCATACACATCGAAGCACTTATTTATCATCTTTGAAATCTTTTAGATATATATATATACATGTATTTAATAAATATAATTACCTGATAATACTAAAGCCGGCCAAACCGTTAGCATGAGCACCAAAACAAACATGACTACAACTACTGTAGTCGCCATAATCGTGTTTACGTCGCTCGGCCCACAACAATTGTCCACTCAACTAGTGTCATGTCCCTGTAAATAAATGAAACAAATTAACTGACGTATCTTATTGTAGATCCAATGTACAGTTAAAAACTCAAATATTTTTTTCGTAAATTCTTACATGTCTAATTATCAATTAATTGTTCGACAGTTGTCTAAGTTTGAATACAGTAAGATGATAATTAATTACCATATATATTTTTTTATGAGTAAAGTAGAACACTGAATAATTTTCGATTAAATTATTGCCGTCTTAAATAAATTAAAATAAAGTACTTAAAACAATTTTAATGATGTTTTTAGTTCATAATGAAACTAACTAATGGTATAATGCTGTCGCTACTTTGCTTTTACAACGATTTGGCAACCATGTTTTCAATGAAAATTTTACAAAAGCCTGGCAGGGACTACAGCTTTTGTAAAATTTCGTTGTCAACCGTAATCGAGAGATTCTCTTAACAAATGTCAATTAAATTGTTACGTATACATTAACGAACATCGTATACAAATGTTTATAAATGTAAATATTAAGATACCGCTGGGATTTGATATATATATATATACTATGTAGGACAAACATATATTTAGCACAATATTATGTTTAATTCTAAAAGGGCTTAGCTAGGACATACACTTTGCACAGTTTATCTCTGACATTTGATCTACATTTAAAGTCTATGCATAAATTATAAACATACAAAGCCTCGACAAAAATTTAACTTTGAAAAAGGACCAAGTTCTATCCCTAAACCTCAAATAAGTCCACCTATCAAAGTAGTGATACCTACATTTAACCAAATTTGCTTTTTTTAGTTAATAAACTCAATCCTAATTTTATGAACAACATCGCTTCTTTATTCGTATTGTTTAACAGTTTTTCTCCATTTTGTTCTTCCTATCTCCCACGTGATCCGTAATGAAATACAACTACTGAGCTAGTACTTGGTGAGTGTTAATAAATACGAATAAAAAAGCAACATTGTTCATGAAAGTAGGATTAAAGTTTTTGATCTAAAGAAAAAACTAACTAGGCCACAATAAAAATATCACTACTTTGATAATAGGTTAACTCTTTTAAGAGGGAAGAAATTGAAACTTGGCCTTTTTTAATGAAATAGTTTTTTTGGGGAATATCACTCCTTTAAGCAAACAAAATATATAGTTATCAAAAGCCACTAAAAATCAAAACATAGAACTGCCTGCCTTATCACTCTCAAATATAGCGCCTGTCTGTAAGACCGTTTATTTTGAGAAAATAATAACTTTCAGATTTTCCCTTTTACTACACTGTTAGATATAATTTTGTGATAATTTTCACAGATCTATATATACAGTAAGTGTCTTATAATTTTGTTCGTTGAGTCATTCAGTTAATACTAAGAATGAAAATTTTAAAATTTTTTCATTTAGAATTGGCTTAAGATTAAGTACTAATTTGTTTACGGTGTTCCAAGTTACTAGAGCTTAATTTTGGTTTTATAATACACAATCTAAAGAGGAAACAGAGATTTGAGAGTTAAAAAAAAATGGGTATATTGATTTCTATAAAGATACACTAGCATTGCTAGAACTTGACTTAGATTAATATATAATATTTTAATATTGTTTATTGATGTAAATCGATAACTGCAATACTTAAAATTTATAATACCATAAAACCAAATGTTATGTATTGTGTGTAAAGGATATCATAAGAAAAATATTGACTATAGAAATTCAAGCAACACTAATAGGTTAAGCACATAAAAATCATACTTGGAAGATTGTATCATACTAGTATTTTATTTTATTAAAATAAAGCTTTACGGTTGTGTTAAAATACAATTTATTTATATTTTCTATTTTATTAAAGATAAAATTTTTTTTTATTTTATTAATTTTTTATTACTAGTGAATTATTCATTCTATATTATTTGATTACATTATTTAAATATAGTTATGATAGTTTCTTAAAAACGTGAAATTTTTATAAAACCTTTAGCTAAATATTACATAGAATTTTGTTTTGTATAATATTTACTTTGAACATTTTAGCCATTGGTCATTATTATAATTTATTAAACTCATCACAATAAATTTAATTTGCTGCGACTGACAAAAAAAAAAACTAAATAAAAGTTTGCAACAAAGCTATGGCAAAAATAAATTCAATTTAAACTTAGATATCATTAAAAATAAAGAATAAAAAGTAAATTATAATAAATAACTTCATACCTAATGTTTCTGGCATTAATCTAAAACAAACCACTGTCTATCCAAGTTGATGCATCGTAAATAGAACATTGAATATAGTATTTCAAAAACAAATATTTAACTGTTAGGAGATTAAAAATCGAAAGTACATAAAATTTTAATTAAACACTTTATTGTAACAAAACGAATTATCTTGACGAGGGCTGAGAAAATATATTTAGCCTTAAAGAAACAGTAAGGACAAATGCGTACAATCTGACGACAACAGCATGGTAGCAGGAAAAGGATTGCTGCAACAGCTGTGGTCGTTGTTAGCCATTTATTCGATGATAATGAATAATATAGTTTTAGAAAACACGGTGACAGCAGAGGCTTTTCTGATCGGTAGTAATCAACGGCGTAATTGGTCGTGGACAGGCCCCGATGTTCAACCCTACTCTTGATATTGACACATTCGCTGAGAACAAGGAAAAACAAGGGAGCTTAAATTTAATTCAAATGTAACTTTTAAATATCATGATACTGAATATGTTTATAAAGTTTCAAAAGAAAAAAGGGACAAACGAGTTGATACAAATATTTTTGAAAAATGTAAAAAAAAAAACAACGTTTTCTTTATTATTTAAAATATAAATTTATTTGAATGAATAATTCTATGATTCATAAAAATTAATACATTTATTTACAAATTATATAGGAAATCTAAGCCAAAGAGTGAATCTCTATTTTTTGAGAATCAAAACTTACAATAAAAATTTAAATGTTTATTAATTATATAAGAAAATTGTTTTGTACCATTAAACTATTAATTTGAAATATTTATAACTTGTTGTAGAGTTCATCTTCGGAGCGACAGTTACAGGTTCATGGTTGTAACTATACTGTTGGCTTAGTTTGTTTACAGTTTATTTTTATATCGGCTTATAATTGATAATGCTCATGTTTATTATCGGTTCTTTTTTTTGTCATGTTGTTATTGATAACAACTGTCTGTTGTTTTCACCTGATTACTGATATTGTTATTGTTTACGGTATTTTTGGCATTTAACTCTATCATACACCAAACAAAAAGAAGATCAATAAACAACAACAAAGAAAAATATGATATATGTAAAAAAACTATTTAACATATCAGAAAATTGCCGGTGAAAGGGCTAAATGCGACGAGTGCAATAAACAACAACAAAAACAAAAATTAGAATAAAACAATAATCAGACAGTTGTTATCAATAACAACAACAAGTAATCAACATCAACGTTATCAATTATCAGTTGATATAAAAATAAACTGTAAACAAGACAAGCCGACAATATAGTTACAACTACGAACCTGTAGCTATCGCTATGAAGACTCTACAACAAATTCGAAACGTCAACCCTAAAAAACCACACAAAAACCCTTTCCGTAAAGTATAAAAAAAAAGTAATCCATAAAATTTTTAAAAATTTTGTAAAATTTTATTTTGAGGATACATTGGTTTTACAAACCAAATTTCACTTGGACTTCATTCATAAAAAAAAAATGTTGATAATATTTTAAATCTTTTTTTTTAACCTTCGTAGAATTAAAATTAATAATTAAATTTTGAAATGAATTTTATCTAAATAACTAGAATTTGATAACCTAGTTTAATACATTGCAATTAAAAAAAAAAATTTAGTTTTACCAGGTATTCTTCAATTAAAATCCCTAGTTTAAGAAAATTAAAATCTAATGGACTAGTTAATTTGACAACAATTATTTAAATATTTTTAATCTGATCTATGTTTTGATATCCAGTAGTATTATTGTTTGGTTTCTTGCTATAAAACAAGCATTAAAAAACAATCGTCTCTGTATATTTATTTAGTGATATTAGAAATTGTAGCTCTTATATACCTCTATTATGCCATTTATGTCCAAAATAAAATTGATTATCTTAAAAGTATAAAACTAAAAATATTTATATTTATAATAACACTTATTTTATTTATATTTATATTAACATATTTACAATGCTTATTATATGTTACTATAATATTGTGTCGAGAAATTAAATTAATTTTAGTATTTCTCTTTTAAATTAAATATTTTGATGTAATTTATCAAAATTAAAACATTTACACAATTTTTTTTATTTATAATGATATTTCTCCAAATAATTTAAAGGTCAGCAATTTTTATTTATTCTTACTTTGACGAACCCATTTTTTTTGAATTTCATTAAATTGTCTAGGTGATAAATGCATAAACGCAAATTATTATTTGTAACTTGAAAGTCGTAATATAATTTCCTGGCGTGTATTACTGTAATAATTTGTGTGTGGTCCAAATATTATAATCAAATGCGCGTTACACGAAAATATAATTTAAAATATCACAATAGGCGTTGTGCCAAGAAACTTTTTCGAAATCCGAATTAAATACACAGAAAAGTGTTATCAAAAAAGCAGAAACGACAATAAATAAGTAACTGAATACATTTAAAACAATTAGATAAAAGTACAGTGGCGATATTAATTTTATAAACATGAACCAATGTTAAAATTAAATGCCAAAACTTAATACATTAATCTGTAAGGAAATTTATTATTATTTATTTACTGTCGAGAAATTTTACTTGTATAATTAAATATTATAATTTTGATTAATAATTATTGGTATATCATTCGAATTTTGAACGTCAAGGAATTGACGCTATCTAAAAACTTGTCTGATATCGGTTTTTATTGTAAGTTGATCGATTATAGTTTATTCGGAATATTCGCTTTTTTACTCGCTCTATGATTTATCTACAAGTATTTTTTTTATTAAAATGATAACATATATAAATAATTTACATATATTAAATAGTGTT